TGCCCCTCTATGCTACATAACCTTGAAACTCCATCCCTTAATACAAATGTTCGAAATCTTGGTGCGGAAAGCCGGCTGGGCGGCTATCGGTTCGTCCTTCAGAAAAGGCGAGAGTTCCATTACCCTCCCAAACCATGGAGGTCAATGTCGGTTCCCTCGAGTAAATGAGTTTCGCTAGCGCGCCCGATTTTTGTGAAAAGAAAAGGTTAGTGTAAAAATGAAGGCAGATCGGTAACGAGGGAGGGATTTTGCACTTTTGCTACTTCCCATCGACGTGACGACCCATCTAGAGAGCCATTTCATGAGCTTACAAGAGTTGACAGGTTTCACCATGGTGGCTCAACGAGCTTGCTCCAGCTTCACAAAAGTTCACAGGTTTAAACAAGAGTTGTAAACCCCAAGTAGTGAAGCAGCGAAAGTGCAAAATGCACCATGCATCCCCCCCCCATTTTTTGATGCAGAACTGCATCAAAAAATGACCAATGGACGTAACTAACACTAGAATTCCATGGGTGGTCGATACGGTGAGTCATGCACAAAATTTGAAGCCTTATAATGCTTCACACTTGAAGAAAATAAAATATATCCCTTTATAAAAATTGTTATCGTATAAAAATGACACGTTTGACATAACTTACCCCGAACCAATCTTATCGATCTTCTTATACTTCTTGTCAGGGTTTCCAATCGTCACAATGGAACGCAGCTTTGTAAGAACCTTAACAGGACTGATAGCACTCCTCTTAGACAAAAGAGGAAAGCCTCAACAAATAGAGAAGGCACTCAATAAATTGGTAGCAGATAATTAATCGAAATATAAAGAATAAATACCTCAGCATCTGTCATTTTCCTCTTTCCCTTTGCGACACCTCTGGATTGTACACCAAACTGGCCCTGTGACAAATCCGGCACTCGCTCTTCCTCCTCTTTCGGTTTTGTGTACTAAAAGGTGAAAAGAACAAGTATAGGCACAATGTTTCAGCATAATTTAAACCCAGCAACTTCTGCTCAAGTGCGGCAACACCTTTCCACCTTACAGGCAGTGGGCAGTATGGTTTGGGGCGGACGGTTGCTGCCAACGCCATTGGAGAAAAGGTCGTGAGAGGGCTTCATTTC